CAAATAAATAAATAAAATCTTAAAAAAAAAAAAGACCAAACTTAACTGCCTTATTTTTAGAAAGAGAGAAGAAAGGTGTATATATACTCTTTTGTGTTCAGAATCAGAATTGTAAATTGCATTTATATTCGGTATCTTAAAATTATAATTTTGTTACAGTTTAAATTAGAGGTTGATATATCAAAAATGTCAAAAAGTACCAAGAGCACAGAATTAATATTATTTAAAGAATAGAGTTTGCAACACTAAATGAGCCATCTTTAATTTCAAGGAGGTTTCTCTTTGCCAGCCCTCTCTCAGATGTGTAGTGGTCCTTACTAGAAGCTGATGTTGACTGAACATACAGGTGCATTTGGAAGACATTTTGAGGGAGTGCCTGGAGAAACTGTGTTTAGGTATTTTCCCCCTAGAGGTATAGAATATTTTCATTTTTTATCATCAAAGTTGTCATGGGATCTCACCACTGACCACAAAATATGAAGAGTTTTGTGATTTTTAAAAAGATTTCATTTATTTATTTGACAGAGAGAGAGCCAGAGAGCACAATGGAGGGAAACAGCAGAGGAGTGGGAGAAGCAGGCTCCCCACTGAGCAGGGAGCCCAATGCGGGGCTTGATCCCAGGACCCCAGGATCATGACCTGAGCCAAAGGCAGACACTCAACCAACTGAGCCACCCAATATGGAAGAGTTTTGTGTTAGGTAAGTGTTAGGCTTCTCAAAAATAAATCAGATTTCCCATGCAAGTTTGTTTCTAAGAAGGTTACAAATTAGACTTTCTTTTGTCTTCTATCTCTAGGCCAAAGGACTATTTTTTTGAAGCTATGATGCCAGAGATGCAAGATGTATCAAGTGAGTATGAACATACATCAACTGAGCGCTCACAATCGGAAAAGCTCTTGGGAACTCTATTTAGTTGCTTGATGTTCATCCTGGTAACAATTTATTGCAGCTAAGATGGAGTAAAGTCTCACTCAAATTTGGGGTAAAATGTGAATGTAACTTTCAATGTCTAAAGGAAATAAAAACAGTCTATGTTAATCTTGGACACCTTCAATACCACACAGAGAAACTACCCAATAGATCTTTTATTTTGTTACATTTATTATTATTATTATTATTTTAGAGAGGGAGGGAGAGAGCAGAGGGAGGGCAGAGGGAGAGAGAGAATCTTAAGCAGGCTTCATGCCCAGCACAGAGCCCAATGCAGGGCTGGATCTCACAACCTTGAGATCATGACCTGTGCTGAAATCAAGAGTTGGATGCTTAACTGGCTGAGCCACCCAGGCACAACCCCAATAGACTCTTTTAAACCGGCAAAAAAGGGAACAGTTTCATTTGACAGGCTAATTTGAGAGAGATGTACTAATATTTAAAAGTAGGTTAAATAGAACAGAACATGATTTTGAAATCTGTAGTAGGCAGATCAGAGGAAGAATAAACATAACCAACCATTCCCCACCAAGACATTGGAAGATTAGATATTTGTGCCAGCCACGAGAGGATGGTGGGGCATTTGTCGAGCACACTGACTGTCCCCTCTCATACATACCATCATGGCAATGAGGGCACAGATGTAACTTTGTTTCATAATAAACTGAAACACAGAGACCATGGCGTGAACTTTAACACTTTGTTTCTCCTCATGGCTCCTTTCCTCCTCAAATTCTTCCTTCTCATTCTCTTCTTCCTCTTTCTTTTCTAGATAGAGAAATAATTTATATAGCTTTATGCTAATATGTAAATTCTGGGTAAATGTCCCCAGTGCTGTAGCACATATATAGTTTTAGCAGAGACTTTTTAAAAA